CCAAGTTTAATTGTGATGATCTAGCCTACTTATACCAATGCCTCCTGTAATGAACGTTGACTGTGTATACATCAGTCGTCTCACACATTTCATCACATACAGGTTTTCCCCTAAAGAGCAGTGCATGGTGGATCAGACCTGTTTATAGAGAGGGTTGTGACATTGTTTGGAATCAAAATGGTAGATTTTGCGGAAGTGCACATAGGAAAATAAGCACACAATAGCTAAACGCTGTACAACACGCAAAATGAAAAAGCCATTTGGGTTCCGAAGTTGGAAGTTGGCGCTACTCTCTCTGCAGCGCCGAGACGGAGGAGCGGGGTTGCGCCACCAACGTTGCAATTTATTCCACTTTAATTGCTCCATGGATGGACCGAAGCATGCACACTTCGCAGTTGGTCGACCAAACGCAAACGGCCAGCGTGTGTTGTCATTGCTTTAAATACCTTATAGCACACAAACGGTCGTTTTTGTTCATGGATATTTACTCGAGCTATAAGCGTTCGCAGGCAAACAGCGCGCAAGCAAAATACGTCACCACTTGCTTCCTTGCGTTTGCGTTGCGTTTATCAAATAAAATCCGCGTGTTCAGCATATAAACATGTGGTATGTGTTTATATTGGTGTCAAAATGTTTAAAAGGTGTCAAATATTTGCGTTTAGAAGTCTTCTATACAGTGCATTTGTCTGTGGCGAGATACAATAGTAGATTAGCTTGGAAGTACAAAAAGCGGTGTGTGTGTTGGGGGGGGGGACATCGACGCAGGGTGGACTTTGGGGTGAGAGTTATATTATACGACTGTGCGTAAGCCTAAGAGAGGGGTCATAGAAATTTAAGTGGAAACATTTTCTGCAGCTGTAATGTTATTTTCTAGTTATCTAAGTGAAAAAAGTTCCTTTATACCGTCATTACAGACGGTTATGACAAAACCTTGTTCTCGATCTGTTGTCATATGCCAATTAAAGCTGTTGTGAAATACCGAAATCCAAATTATCTCCCAAATATCAGATTTCATCTGATTTGAATTAGCGGCAGAGTAATTCCAGGGGACAAAAATTGTATTCAAGGTTATACGAGGATGTATATAAAATCTTACATTGCACAAGGTTCATATGCAACGCCTAAGCACGGTGTAAGGTTCAATTTCATTATGGATGTTGCTTTGCCTCACAGTTAACGCCTCAAGCTACGAATTATATTTTTGTATAATCATTCATATGGTCACACTTTTGCTTTTGCTTGACAAGCCTTTATCTAGCTAGTTAGATTATAATTATAGTCTAAGGCATCACTAACTGAGACATCACAGCATCTATTACTGTATGTAAAACAGATTCTTGAGAACTAGAATATCTGTTATACATCCCATTCTCTCTTGAAAACTAACTCAATGTTTGAGATCTGAAAGGTAATTCAAGATTGAAAACAAGCCCCGAAATATGAACAAGGGGAACTAAATAACATTTCGAACTTGATATTGTACAAGCCATTGACATGGTGGGAACACTGCATTTTCACTGGTTCACAAACAAGAAAATCCCCCGTTAAACGGTCACTACAACTCGAAGGTGCCCATTGAAAACAGAGTTAAATCAGTATTGTTCACTGACAAATAATTTTCAAGCCCACGTACCTTAGTTTCAAATATCATTTAGTCCTTAATATTTCAAATTATTTGCATTTTTGGTAGGTTAGCGAGTTTTATTTGTAATTATTCATACGCACAAAATCACACCGAATAGTAATAGTTTCGTAATCTACATGCAGCCATTTTCAAATGGCATACCAATGGCTCAGTTTTCTCGAGCTTTAAGGACAATTTTCCAACCGCTTTTTATCCATTCAGCTATCAGATGGAAGCCCAAAGAAGCAGGACGTTGATCCTGTCACACATTTACATAATCTCACCATTTTGGGTGCCAACTAATCTACTTGTGCAAAAGATACTGCAGGGCACTTTTCATGGTAATGAGCTGGCCAGAAAGTAACAAGAATTAGTGAACTGTACCAATCGCTTATCAACAGAAACAAACGCTCCCAACTAACATGGCTCTTTTCAGCTGATCAGGGGATGCTTCTGCGCAAGGCGGATATGCTCAGTTGTGGTGATATGTAACACGTGCCTGGGAAGTGGATGCAGCAGCTTGGCTGTTGCTATCATAGACGCTTTTCCAGCTGCAGTCACAGCACCCAAATTCAGCCTATCTACGTGTACAAACTTAAAGCTACGCCGTATAGCAGTCATTAGCCCATTTGCGGAAGGCGGGCACAAAAGGTGCGCTGTTTGGTTTGGACATACAACCTTTGGGTTTACTCCAAACTGTACCTACTCAAAAATAGCGCACCCTATTATGTCGACCATGCACCAAAAGGCTAATAGAAGTATTTCAAGTCACAAATACTCTACATTAGCAGGATATAATTATACTCAACGAGTCTTAGCCCAAAAATACTGCAATGATTTTTATTTTAAACAGGGTCCAACAGTTTCGAAAGGGGACGCCCCTTTGCTCATGCGATCTTCAAAATTATACCCAAGGCTGTAATAAGGAATAAGGATGTTAGAAACATCGATGCTAGTTTGCGACCGTTGGAGGTATTCCTGACTTGTAATGACAGTCCAAGGCTGGTGTCCTCGTTTTCCAGTTCTATTTAGTTTAACTCGTGAGGCAGCATTCTCACTGATGTGTGTATATGCTTGGGCGTGCGGGTGCATGACGCATCTTGTGCGTCATGCAGTCGCACACCCAAACCCAATCCGGTTAATTCATAACTTCGTCGAAGAATAAGCTCGACTGAAGATTACCTCTCCAAAAATACATTTTGGTTTGCCCCCTTATCCATTGCATTTCACTTTCCCTTAATTACAGTGAAGAATCTATAAAATAATTTTGCTTGCATATGAATACAATGTGGCGTGAGAAATACGCAAATGGAAAGGCACATTTACCAGCACCTCCCCTCAACACCTTTTCCTACTCCAATAGTTCCACTGCCACACCTGGTAAGTGGGGTATATATGTGATTCTACTATGTCTAACTTATCAAACAACCAGTTACGTGGGGCACTGGGGAGCTTACTGGATAAGTCTAAAAATTGCGTTTAAGACTCTCTTGAACAATGTAGCCAATAAGCCAGCAGACCACACCACATAGGCCGCCACAGCAAGCAATTCCAGATCCGGTGAAGTTGAAGACTTCTTTAGCCACTAGACTTGCAACCAGACCGCCTACCACGGATATTATTTCTTTAGACATTGTTGGTCCTCAATTCCGGATGCCTTCCAGCTGAAAAAAAAACACAAACAGATAAAGCTATAAATCTGTTATTCTTTTCCTTACCGATATAGCCTGCAGCTTTATCTATCTCTCTCTCGGCAGGATTTACACTTCGACATTGGACCATATGCCATGCCTGTGTTGACGATCCTTTGCGTATTCTTCTTGAAAAGGAAGGAAAACAACAGAAACATCGAACAAAAAGGATGCAGGACGGTGTCTTGTGGTTTGAAATAGGAACATACGAGTTTCCCAATAAAATCCAAACTTTCTGACGTCATTCTCATATCAAAAACTTAGTGAGAATTGAGTACCACGAAAGTCGTTTTATTTTTCGCTACGTCATAACAAACAGGCATTAATAGACGCAGATGAAAGGTTAATGACCGGGAAGGGGTGATGAGCAACCTGAATCTTGATTAGACCAATCCAAGCATGGAAGCACTATATACTTTGGGATGCCACGAGCTATTTATATTTAAAAAAATTTCCAGGGAATGGAAGTAGCTTTGTCGAAGAGGCGGAGCTTTCCACGTACTTGGGTACCGGTACATGGAGATTGCACTCAGATCTTTGGATACAATGGGCCTCGAGCTGGACCGAGAAAGGACGCTGTTTTTAGCCACAAAGGCTCCTTTGATAGGAACGGAACTTTGCCGGTACACGAACGACTTGGAAATGCACGTGTTACGGTTGCATCGCTACCAACAAAATGAACACTCCCGACCAACAGGGTTCTTTCAACCGATGAGGGGCAGTAGGTGGATAACAGTGGGACCTTTAATTAGATCAAACTGTTCTGGAAAAAGTACAACGTTTTTATTTGGGACTGAAAAAATTACATAAATTAAACGATTGACTCTTCACAACAATTCCAAAAACCGAATTAACTTCTACAGATACGGAACTCACGTCTTGGAAATTTTTACTGCTCCCTCTTGATCCGTAAAGAGAATAAAGTCTGAAATAATATTGATGTCTCGGTTGTCTCCTGGGTTTTCCCTTGAATCTGGTAAAGTTTAATTAATCAAAAAAGAGAAAAACTTTAAATTCGAAATTTATGTAGACCGCCTTCGTTGACCACGGTGACAAAATGCTGACGCTAGACTGAATGTAAACTTAAAACACATAATCTCACGCCCCGGCAGGCTTTGAGTTGATTCGTAAAAGTTCAGCTCTTTCAAGGTCTAAACAAAGGTACACTTCCGTAAAACGTCTACGCTGACATGTTTAGCCCTCGACATTAGAGGAAGAAGAGCATGCTGGACTATCATAACATTGTGTCCAAAAAAATGGAAGGCGTATTGTACGTATGGGGAGAAGAAAAAGTAGGATTAGCCTTTCTTGTGTCTAATAGTGTTCCAAAGGGCCGAAACTCAATATCAGAGTATATGCCATCAACGGTGCATCACCGATAGTGGGAAATCCCCCAATGAGAAATGTCACAAAAAAAGGCTTTTGGTAGGTAAGTACAGAGTCCAAGGTAGCTGGGTTAGTCTCATGGTATTTGCATATTTTGTCTCCCGATCCATCTAAGTGGATACCTTTTTTAGAATTTGCTCAAATTGAAGAGTCCTGTACATGCACATTCCACATTTAAAATACCCCCCCTGAAATAAAGCCAGATATTAAAGAGATAAACTCTAAATGGTCTAGTTCTAAGTGAAATTCTTTTACTGTAAACATCTCATAAATCCCGTGCAGTTAAAATATTCGTGCAGTCCTGCCTTAAAGGTTAGAATACTGGGCGTTCAGGTGGCATTTATCATTACTACAAATACAAATGGATTTACTTACCAGACTTTAAAGTAATGAACAGAGTCTAACCGCGTGCTGCACAAGTTGTGATGCCCACACGTCTCCTTGAGTCTCGAGTGAACCTCTGTGTTGTGGCCACAAACCCTAGTGCGACTGCGCACATCCAGTTTACAAATCCTGGCTTCGTCGACTCTCACTGCATGTCTTCGGTGTTTTGGGATGAATGTCAAATATTCACTGTTACAACTCAACGAAATTATACCCATCGCTGGCTTGTTTAGACAACTTAAATTTAATCAGAAAAAAAAGAAATATAGTACAAAAAGTGGCGGCATTGAGTGAGGGGTGTCAATACTCTTTTGACTGGATTAAACCAAAGTTTGAAGCCGCAGCTAGTGACAGAGCCCCCTCAAAAAGAGAAAATCCTGGGCACATTGGCCAGAAACGGTAAACGTAGTGTAATGTATTGTGAATAATTTTAAATATGTCATGTTGTCACTCAGCGGACATCCAAATTTTTCATTGGAATGAATTTAATGAAGTTGTGAACTAGAGAAAAACTTCGGCTAGAAAAACCCAGGTAACTGCAGCCGATAACAAATCTGCGTTGCGCAGAGTAAACAAAGCAAGCCGTTTCCCCCCCTCGAGGTCATAAGGACAATCATTGAATACAAACCACTGACATTGTTGGTATTACTGTGGCCTGTAGATCTTGATTCACACAGTCAATGAACACATTATGCAAACACACCAGCCTGGGCACATTGTGCACATTGTGGTCTCCCTTATAAAATTTAATATACATGTACTGATAACTTCCGTTATTCAACAATTCATTAAATTGAAAACCATCAGTCTGTGCCCCTTGTTTCTTGCTTGTATAAATTCATGCTTAAACTTTTTTTAAACTTCATATGCACAGACAGATATACAGTGAAGTGCCCATACCCAGGAGTCCAAATTCAATGCCACACCGGCATTTCGTTAGGTTGGGGAAAACCAGAGGTGAGAAACTGTTCGCGTGGTGCCACCTCAATGGTGGATCACACAGACTGGTCTAGTAACGTGGTTGTATTACTGCAATGAACATTATTAGCATACCAGCCAAGGCAAATACGCCGGCGGCCACTTTACCTGAGAATAACGCTTTACATTCAGGCGATGACGTATCCAGCTTTGGGTGGGGGGGGGGACTCAAAAACAAATGCACTTTCGTGCTCATTCAATATGATAATGGG